TGGGATAAACCACGCTGTGTTCAGGATTGCTTACACATTTATTTTTCAAAAAACAGTTCTGTAAGAACTTGCAGCTTTATGTAGGGTTCATTTCTCCCATACCTGTCTTCAGGTAATGCTGTTTGAAGCAAACTAGAATCATAGTCATCGCTGAATGTATTTTTCTCTCTTCCTGAATGAAAGGAGCGGGCTTAAGTACTGTCTTCTCTAACATTTGTTAACCAATGCTAACCATTGTGCAGAGCCGCAGAATGATCCTTCTGTGCAAGAACCTGCAACAAAGGTTAAATAGCTCAGCACCTCTTCTGAGGATCCAGTAGGAATTATCGGGATATATTTGCTCCAAAACCTTTAGAAATAGTGTGGTACCACTGATAAATAAATATGTATAGAAATGTAAGTATATATATAAAAATAAATACAAAATTTAAGAGAAGCTAGGACGGGCAACTCACATCGTCTCCCTGGACTTGTGCAAGGCATTCGGCACTGTCCCGCATGATGTCCTTGTCTCTCAGCTGGAAGGACATGGAGTTGACAGATGGACCACTCGTTGGATAAGGAACTGGCTCGATGGACGCGCTCAAAGAGTTGCAGTCAGCGGCTCAATGTCCAGGTGGAGACCAGTGACGAGTGGTGTGCCTCAGGGGTCGGTACTGGGGCCGGTGCTGTTTAATATCTTTGTCGGCGACATGGACAGTGGGACTGAGTGCACCCTCAGCAAGTTTGCTGACAACACCAAGCTGTGTGGTGCAGTTAACACGCTGGAGGGAGGGGATGCCATTCAGAGGGACCTTGACAGGCTGGAGAGGTGGGCCTGCATGAACCGCATGAAGTTCAAGAAGGCCAAGTGCAAAGTCCTGCACATGGGTCAGGGTAATCCCCGGTGTCAGTACAGGCTGGGGGATGAAAGAATCGAGAGCAGCCCTGCCGAGAGGGCTTGGGGGTACTGGTGGACGAGAAGCTCAACATGAGCCTGCAATGTGTGCTTGCAGCCCAGAGGGCCAACCATGTCCTGGGCTGCATCAAGAGAAGCGTGGCCAGCAGGTCGATGGAGGGAATTCTGCCCCTTTACTCGTCTCTCACGAGACCCCACCTGGACTACTGCGTCCACCTCTGGAGCCCCCAACATAGGAAGCACATGGATGTGTTGGCGCAGGCCCCGAGGAGGGCCACAAAGATGGTTCGAGGG